ATATATATATATTACTAGTTCAGGGTATTCAGAGATGCATTCAAACTCCTGGGATGACAGTTCGGTTAATTTAAGACCTGTCACCCTTTTCTGGATGTGCACCAAAGACTGCAGTCAAAACAGTAAAGCTGTCCTTGTCCTCCCCATGTTTAATAAATGCACAATGGTGCTAATCTTGGAGCTAAACGTATGACCCAGAGACATCAGCTCTGATGGAATGAGTGCAAGGTGCACGAAGGATAACGTTTGGAAAGCATGTGTCTTTGTGAAGGCATGTGTGGTGATGGCTGACGTTAAAAACAAAAGTCGTTAATCACGTTTGTACTATTAATAGCTGTGACTCAGGTGTTGGTAACGTTATACTGCTGATGGGGCTGGATTGACACGGACTAAATAACAACTGGCATTAGTTCAGAATTGATTTAGTGACAGGTAAAAGGGAACTCTTCTTAGTTGTTTATAAATTACTTCTTAAGAATATACAGAGAACATTTTATAGAAGTCCTTCTTATTTCTGCTTTTCTTCCAAAAAAACAAACTTTTGAGAAAATGTATGGCATCGTGATTGAATTTATTACCATTCTTGACTACTTACCACAGTTACAGCATCATTGAGCAGTGATTCACCAAACACCAGGATGTGCAACAGCTCATTTATATGAATCTCCTCAAAAACAGCGAGTACAGCAACTGGATCCACAGCTGAGATGATGGAGCCRAACAGCAGACAAGGCAGAAGGCCTACAGACAGCAGGTCAGCTTGTGGGATCTGGCAAACGGCAAACAGCAGGCCTCCAACAAAGAAGGCGTTCCACAGAGTCCCCACRACAGCAAACATGAGGATTGTGCCCAGATTTTCCATGAAGGGTCGGATGGGCAGGAAGTAGCCAGCATCCAGGATGATGGGGGGCAACAAGCAGAGAAAGAACCATTTGGAGTCCAACACTGGGGGGACTTTTTCTCCGGCCATTTTAATAAGACCCCCGACCAGTAGGCCAACGACAATCAGCAGGCAGCTCTCTGGAACAATACCCGACAGGCGAGGAATCAAATGGAAACCTGGAAAAGGTAGAACAAAGATAAGAATGAAGTAAGAGTGCAAGTAGTTGTTATCTCTTTCTTGTTTGTGAAACTCGGATGAAGTAAGGCTGAGATACGAGTCGAGCAAAACCCAGGAAGTGCTAGTTTATGGGTGAGCGGTAAGCAGGGCACATATTTCTGTTTGTACCGACAATTAGAAGAATTTCAGTCTGTTTCCCATGAGCTAAACTGAAATGTTTTATATCTTTAGAATCGTTAAAAACCCTTGAAAACTTTTCATTACTGTTTCTACTCCATGAATGTTAATATAACAAAAACAATCAGATGTGAAATATTACAACGTGGTGGTAAATGACATGGAGGTGAAAATTTTGTACTTCTGCTTCAGATTTAGCAACCAAGCATAAAACTGATTTCTCAGAAACAAAGATTTCCACTGCACATCAAATCGATTTCCCCTACAGGACAGAAGGTGCTGCACTGAAAACGCTCCAAGGAAATAAAAAAGCCACGTAGGCTGTGAAGGCATGTTTGTGCTTGCAGCTGCAACCTTGACAGAACTGCCGGTATGAGTTGGAAGTGTGCTAAACATAACTTTACAGTTATTTTTTACTTAAAAGGAACCAAAAAACTGATTTTAAATAAAAAACATTAACTCTAATGCCGAAACAGTGAAGAAAATACTCTTCTGCCAGCGTATATTGTACATTACGGAAAGGAGAGTACATTAAATAATCCCAAGGAAATTAAAAACAATCTTTGTTTATTTGAATTACAAGCTAACTTACTTTAAAACAAGATCCACATAATTAAAAAAAATAATAAAAACTTTTGCGACTGCCACCAGAAGCAGAAACTCTCAGAGCCTTCAGGATGTCTTCACAAGCACTTCCTCCTCACAGTTAGCCAACAAATGACAAAAACATTAAACTATCTTTACTATCATAGTGATGTTCCAGAACAAGTAGGTTTTAAATAGGTTTTAAGTAAACTAAAAAAATAGGTTTTAAATAAACTAAAAACAATCAAACCTATGTTTACATAGTGCAAGTGACAGAACAATAGCCTCTGTCTAACCAGCAGTAAAGAAGAGGATGTTATATTTACTGTACACTGATGTCGTGCAGGTTTGTGTTGGGTTGGAACACACCAATGTAACAAAAATCTTCAGCAACACTGAATGCAACAAAAAAAGCTGAAACATTACTGTTTTTAAACTAGGAAAAACAGATGCAGTATATTCCTGGAACATAGATGTAACACCCGTTGTTATTTTATAAAACGTGAGTGTTCATTTCCCATTTGTGTTAAACAGACATACTTTGTATTTAGAATAAAAAGGCACACTGACCCATGCCATCAACGTGTTTTGACCAGCCATGCAGCCATTTGTGGAAAAATGTGGTTTACCATTGTAATTTTATATTCAAATTACAACATACACCCACAGAAATTGAACACGTTGTGCTTCAAGAGAACTAGACCCAAACAATGAGCTTTGCAGGCAAGAAGGAATGGTGGAAATACAGCAATACTGTAGCTGTAAGGTGTGTATTCAAGGTGTGTAACTGTCATCTCATAATGACATGGCCTGTCCTGCCTTATTGACAGATTGTAAAAAATTCTGACTCAGATTCAAGATTCAAAGTGTTTATTGTCATATACACAGATGAAAATGTTTCCCTGAGCAATGAAATTCTTACTTTGCCAACCACTTTGAATGCCGAGAGACAACCATACTAAAAATGGTAAGCACTGAAAGAACACTAACAAGGTAATAAGAGATAAAGCAGGGGTGCCCAAACATTTTCCCCGAGGGGGCCAAAATGAAAATCTATCCATGGCTGTGGGCCAAATGCAGTTATATAATACATGAAATACAAATACTTTTTAAAGTAAAGTCCTTTATTTTAAACAATTTAAGCTATGCAATGGCCCTCTTTTGTTTTAGTCTGTGCAGTTGGAGAAAGTCTGCCATACGCTCAAGTAGCAAAGGCTCATGGGACATTTCATAAATTGATAAAATATGAGTTTTTGTGGCCTTATAAAGTGTGCAACTCTACATGTGGGGTTAAATCTGATCTAAATATGTCTTGTCATTTCTTGTTTCATGTTTAACCCTATTAAATCAAAGATAAAGTCAGCACCATGACTGAAAACTACCTTTACTACAGCCCTTTTATATAGTCATTTGACCAATGGAAATACTGTGTTTCTACCTATAGGAGAACAGCTTACAACCTTGTAACTTTGGCAATTGTTGGTGGGCCAAATCAAATGGCTTGGCGGGCCAGATTTGGCCCGCGGGCCCCACTTTGGGCTCCTCTGAGATAAAGGATAAAAAAAGACCAAACTTTGAACAAAAAAGAGACCAAACTAGAGATAATAACATCAGAAGGGAACAATACAATAATAACATCAAGAACGGGAACTGTACAATCGTGTTTAAAGTGTAAATGTGCAACAGGAAACACTCTGAAATGTGCACATGTGCAATAATAATAATAGAAGATTGTCACATTCAGCTGTTTAAAAGTATGATGGCACTTGGGAAAAACGAGTTCTTATATCTGTTGGTTCTGCATTTCACACTTCTGTACCTCCGGCTGGAGGCCAGACATGTGAATAGTCCGCAACCTATTCTAGCATCTGTGGTAGTGCTTGATAGTCAAACAACCTGATGACAACCCTGTTAGTGTTTCAGAACGCAACCTCAACAAGGACATGTCTGTGTCACACAGCTGAATACTTGAAGGAAAGATAATAAGGGAGAACTTAGATTCAACCACCTAAAGAGATGTATTTTCTCTGCAGAGACTTCTGAGTCTGAGCTCTGTCGCTTGTAGGATTTTTCCCCACGAGAACCACCCAAAACTGCAGCTCCTACAGGTGAGCCAACAAAGCTATTATATTCTACCTGCTGCACCCAATACACAGAAAGCTAAAGTGAGTTCTCGGGAAAGGTGTGTGCAGGATGCAGACTCCACCCTCTGCTTTGTCGCTACAGAGCTTAACATCTAGTCACAGGGAGGGGAGGGAGGCATCGTGTGATAACCACTGGAAAATTCCAAATTAAAGAGAAATTAGCACATTTATGTTCACGTTATCTCAGGTTCCAAAGACGTTATTATGCAACTACTAAGTCATGTCTRACTGTGTTAGAGGCATCAGCGCTAAAGATATTTCAGCTCAGTTTGGAGACAGTGCATGACCCTGCACAACTCCAGATACATGCATTGGTTCAGTCAATGAAAATAATAATYCTTCAGCCAATAACCTAACATAAGGAGTTCTACTGACAATAAAAATCAAGTCTTAAAAAAGTTAAAGCCCTAATTAACTCAAAATTAAACAATCTTTTTTATAGCAGCCTACATGATCTTTGTGGAAAGTTAAATATCTCTTACACAGCTCTAAGAGACAAAAGGTAGCTGAATCTAGAATGTGGCGTGGGAAACCAAGCAGTGGTATTATTAAAGTGCATATAGTCCCATGATCCCTTCTGTAAAGCATTCCTGAGTGTGACGCTGAATCRGGACCCATAAATAGACCACAATGAAATAGTATTTATTAAAGCAATAAAAAAAAAAAACACATACATAATGAATGTAAGGCTATTTTACCCACAACAACTGTAAATGTTGATACAGAAGCTATAACGGAGGTCAGTAATGCACAATAATGAAACATTTTTCATAAATAAATAAAAAGGGCAGCATTTTTTGTGATTAGTGAGCATGCWCTCAGGAGGGGAGAGGGAGGGTTTGCGAGCGTGACGAGCACACTTGGCTGCAGCAGTGTGACCATRTGTCACCACGTCTGTACGCAGTGACGTCACTGGTCGTAAAACATGACTAACTGTTCAAATGATTGAATCTTTTGAAAGGAACAGATCCTTTAATCTCTAGAATGAATTTATTTCTGCTCATGCTTCAAGGACAGGCACAGTCAATCCTGGATCTAAAGTGCAACTCTAAATTAGTCATCATCTTTTATGAGTTCCTTAAAAGGGGACAAAGCAATGCATGCAGCCCAATCAGGAAGAACAGAAAACACATTTCAATGAGAAGCTCAGAATTCAACTTGGATGAAGAATTCAACTTATTATGACACCTTTTTTTATGACACCTTAGGGGTGTAAGAAAATATCGATACACTGAAATATCGCGATATTTCATTTCCCGATACTGTATCGATATTCTAAAGCCCTGTAT